TATATATATATGGATATTGGCAAATAATGAAACATGTGGCTATAGTTGATATCTAGTAACAGAGTTAGTGTGTGATTAAGTAACTATACCAGCAAGTGAGATCACAACAGCAATAAAGAATACATGAGAAAATAACCCACCAAAAATAAATGAGCAAATGGATGACAAGATAGAAAAAATAGTAAACAATGAGCGAGTGAATGAGTGAGTCAGTGTTTTACTGTTGAGGAATGAGGGTGCTGCACACACTCTGGGCTCCTGGAACTCTGGGGTGGCATCCCGCTGGAGAGCAGCCCAGACCCAGCCACCAGTCCTGACAGTCCATGAGATAAACCCCTTAAAGCCAACCTGGCATCCTCCACATTCCCACAAATCCTCTGTTATTGTCCCAGATTACATTCAGAGATGTTACAACCACAGTGGCCGATTAGCTGCTGCGTGGCAGACAGGGCTGGGATTACAGCTGGGGAATTTAACGCTGAGAACTGTGTATAGTGAAGCAATGTGAGAGAATTCCTTTGACTCTTCTCCACCTGCTGCCTTGAGCCTCTAGCAGACTTCAGGACCGACTGCGTCAGTTTACTCCAGTTTACTCCTTTCCACACTGACAGTTACCATTACTGTGCCTTTTAAGTGTTTCAGATGGTCATGAGCTTGTTTGTACTTGAGTTACCTTTTTTTCTGACATAACTATAAGCTTGCGACAAGACTCAAACTTAGAATGAATGTATTCTACTGCTAAATATGGTGTGTATCAAAGCCTGTTCTATCTCCTTCCTCCTGTGCCCCAGAGCTCCATTGTTGTCCAAATACTATTACATGCACATGTAGCCACACGGTTACACTGGGTGACAGGTTCCTTCAACACCAAGAACACACAGAGCAGTTTATTTTGACTCAGTCTCACAAACACATCGTCCTGCAGTCAGTAACATTCACTAGACCATCTGTGGATTAATCTGCTGATGAAAATAGCCCCAACAAATGCATTATTTCCTCCTGTTTGCTTAATTAAAAACTACAGTGTCCAGCTGGAAATGACCGAGCCCTTAAAAACAATCAAAACTATATATTTGTGAGGTGTTTTTAAAGGCTTACATCAGTAAAAATCAATAGGCTTGTAAAAACTGTGGTAAACTGGTGGTTTTAATAGGATTTGTGGACAATAAGAAAAATAGAGTTTTTAGAGTTAGAGAATTATCCAGCTTCTCTGTTAATGTAAGTCATTCAAGGGGAAACAAAACTGTAAGAGAGGACCTGAATGAATTATGACAAGCCTGTAACTGTGTATCCACTGTGGCAACGCAGTCTTTCTCTACAGTACCTCATTGTCTATGCTGTTGGTCTCAGCCTGCAGCTCCTTCACACTCGGCAGGGCCACGCACCTGTCCTGCTGCACTTCCTCACACTTGTCATTGTTCACCTCCTCTGCGCTTTGCACTTCCTGGCAATTGGAAAAGAATCATGTCAGGAGCTGTTTATAGTATCACCAGAAAAAAAGTGCATGAGGCTTTACAACTGATTCATGGTGGTATAGTATATCATGCACTGCAACATGTTACCTAATCTTTTGTTAAGTGGCAGCTTCATATTTATCAAAAAATATAAAAGTATAGAATTGAAATCAGTCAATGAACAGCAGTATGCACACACTACATGTATAAAATGCCATAATTATATTACATATAAAAACTGCAGTTGTAATAAAATGATTACAATATTCATCTGTGCTTTTTTTGCCAAGACTTTAGAATTTTAAATATTTGCATTTGTTTTGGATTTTAAAAAAATGTAATGTACACAGTTGCTCCAGTTGGAACTAGTTGGCAGTAGGTCTTGAAATTAACACCTTTTTGAATGTGATATCAAATATCCCATGAACCTGTGGTGCAGTCGGTGCTCTCTTCATGTGAGTCCCAGCTTCCTCAGCAGCCGCCCTGCTCTGCTCCATGTGAGCCACCTTCAGCTGCCGCAGAGCTGCTTCCAGCTCCACAGGGTCTGCACAGGCCCCCTCTGCCTGGGCTCGGGTCTACACACACACACACACACACGCAAACAAAGGCACACCGTTGCTCATACATACTTGAATTAACTGTCATATTGAAAATGTTTGGCCGTTTTCAAGGACCAGGGAAGGGTTAAGCACAAGAGCTTTATTTCTAAGCTAAAGCAGTCTAGTACATGCATATATGTATTTGGGGTGTGAAGTCACCTGCAGGGTAACAAAAGGGTTGTCTTTGCTGAAGGAGGGCGAGCGGGATGGGGTTTCCCTCTTCTTTTCTCGAAGTGACGAAGCCTCCTGGTTCCTCCTTATCCTCTCCAGCTGCTCCTCCACGCTCATCCTCGGCCTGCCCACCTCTCGTTCTCCAAATCCTATCTGATCGACTGCACTCCTGGGACGGTCCTGCACAGGACAAGACTCATGTGTGTTGTTGTTTCTGTTTTTTGTTTTTTCCATGCATTCAATTTCGCATTTATGTTTTAGCATCACTAACATTTTGTCCAATTGCAGGAAACACTGCATGTGATCCAGCATTGCTGTTTGTAATTTGTTCTCATTGAAATCACAGTGAGTTGATGTGAGTTGACAATGAAGCTGTGGCAACTGAGACAATTTCAACCACAGCCACTATTTTTTCAGCTAGTGGTAAGCTTAGGGCTGTAACACCCAACACTTCCTGTAGGTGTTTCTCAGTGAAATCATTAGCCCTTTGAGGTGCTGCATGGCGTTTAATGTGAAGCATCTGTGTAGGAAATGTAGGAGATTCCCCATATATGTTTTCTTCTCCCTGTTCCAGTTAAGGTTTCTTATTGTTTCAGTTTAAGCCATAATCTTATAGTTTCAACATAATTCTATGATTGGATAATATATTTAATTATTTTTATGTGTTAATTACCAGATATATTTACAATTTCACACAAATAAAATGTATTTTAAAGGAATCCTCTTCATAATCATATCAATAATCAATTTTGTAGAAAACAGGATTAGGGCCTATGTAAAAAAATTGTTTGAGTTGTGACTTTAATCTCAGAATTCTGACTTAAAAAAAAAGGCAGAGCTCAAATCTTTACAGTGGCCCCAATCTTCTCATTCTCAAACTCTTCAGTCAGGAAACATTTCCAAATGTGATATGTGGAAAAGAAAGACTCCTGCCTGCATTGAATGAGAGCGACAGATAAAGTGATGTTATTTGTAAATGCAGATGTGTATACTGGAGCAGATAAAGCATCTGTAGAGCTCTGGCTCAATAACATGTTCACTTGCACAAAGACAATCAGCCAAAAAAAAAGGACCCTTGAGGCTGGTTCTGCCTCATTTTTGTGTTAAAATCAGTCATTTGCTTGAAACAATTTTTGTGCCGATGTTGATGCTAAAACTTACTGATCTAGACTCAGTCTTCTTGGTCTTCCTCAAGGTGACGTAGGAGGCGATGGTGGAGGATTCGGGAGGGCTCTTGGAAGATTTGGTCCTGGGAGGGACGATGCCCACTGGGTATGGGGGCACTGTTGGAGAGGCAGCATAAAACACTCACTTACACATACGCGAACAAATTCTGTGGTCAGGCTAACTGCTTAGTGTTGTGGCAGAATATTTAGCCACGCTCCATTTCATACAGTCATGTGGTCAGGACGTCAGAAAAAAATCATTGTTGCCAGTCCACCCTCCATGGAGGACCGGTACACCTCACGGGAGGGCAGAGAAGATTTCTGCAGACCCCTCACACCCTGGACACAAACTCTTTGAACTCCTCCTCTCTAAACGCACTACAGGGGTCACTGTGCACCAAAACATCTAGACACAGAGACAGTTTCTTCCCCCGGGTCATCACACTGAACAGTTAGTCTATGTTCAAGGGAATGGCAGGACAGTAGCTCTGTTTACTTGTATATATGTATGTGTGTACATTTTTGTCTTGGCTTTTTTATTAACTTGTGGTTTTAGTTTCATTCTGCTTTTATATTGTTGTGCACATCAGGGGCCATTGGACTGGAGTCAAATTCCTGTTATTTTTTTAATACTTCATAAAAAGGTTTATGCTTAAGATGCAAAACATACAAATAATGTTGTGATTTTTTTTAGTTTTACCAATATTTGTTATTTTGCTGGAGTTCAAGTGCAAAGTTAGCAAAGTCCACAGTTATGAGAACAAGAGCGTACTTGGAAATTACTTAAAATTTAACAGTGGTGTAGTTACAGGTGAGGGTGTGACGAGATCACTGCAATAGTAAAATGTGATAATATTTGTCGTCATGGTGAAAAGCTGTCTCGTGATATCAGTACATAACAAAACCAGAGCAGCAGCCAGCATGACGGAGTGTGAGGGTGAAAGAAGGTCCCGCACAGATTCAATTAGAAATTAGAAGCTCATGCACAGTTATAAGGTCTGAAGAGGCTCATGTGAAACCATACAGGGGAGAAACCAGTCAGTTGAGTTTGTGGCAAAACTTTTTACAGTGCTTGGAGATTGTCGTCTTTTACTGCATATGATAATACATACTCAGAAAGTAGAACTGAAGTGACATTCATCACAAGATGATTAGTTAGAACATTTCAAAATGCTCAGTGTCTTGCTTTTTGTGACTTTCAGTCAAATAAGACTTCTTCCAGTTTCATATTTCGTCATTGAAGATTTCTTAGAAATAGAGTTAAAATATCATCTCGTCTCATTAGCTAAGTCTATGGTCAACACCTCTAGTTCCTGGACCCATGACCAGCACGCCGAGACAAGGAGAGTATGAAGGGGCCGCTGGACCCTCAGCGGTCTGAAGAAACATGCAGGTATATTGATATCTGCGATGGCAGATGAGCTTTGGAACTAACAGCAACAAGCATGACCCATGGACGAAATGAGGCAAGTGATTTGTTACAGAAGTTAATAGTTTTTGAGGGACTGGATCTGGAACTGAACACATTTGGAGACACTGAAATTCATTATCATGAACCGGACGATGGCTTTGACCCTGAAAAAAACTTTTTCAAGAACTTTGAAAATAACTGCAAGTATTACACGGATGAGCAGTTTAACAGCAATGTCAAGATTGTAAACAAATTATCACTAATTCACTTTAATAGCAGAAGTCTATACGCAAACTTTCAGAGTATAAAACATTATCTCTGTAGTCTTACACATTCTTTTAATATAATTGCTATTTCTGAAACTTGGATTAATAATGTAAGGGGATTGGATTTTGACCTTGATGGGTACGACTTGGTATGCATAAACAGAGAGAATAAGATGGGAGGTTGTGTGGCCTTGTACATAGATAAAAACTTTTGTTATGAGAAAGTCGAGAAAATGTCAAGGGCGGTAGATAACTTGCTGGAGTGTGTGACTGTAGAAATACT